GATCAAGCATGGAGTATGGAGGATCAGCCACATTTGGGATGAAGAGAGAAAGGACTGGATTGACTAGGAAACGATTAAATCACGCATGAAGGGCTGCCACTACAGAGATGAAAACCTGCAAACAGTGATTAATAGTATCTCAGATGGATGGAAAGACTTACTCAAAGAGAACTTCTCTTGGAAGCCAGGCGAATGGGGAGTACCCCCACAGGAGACGATGCCTGCAAGGGCATACAAATTCTTCCACAGACCTCCGTGATCAGACTTTTCGGGGGTCTTCACCTCATTCCCGATAGACCTAACCAATCCCGAGTCTCCATGCATCTACAACACAGATCCACAACAGTCAGTCCTGAGCTCATTCACACTCCGAAAAATAAGAGTATTAGCTTATTAGGTAATTGGCCAAAAACAATCTTCCAAATTGAAACACCAATCCAAGAACTAGAGTTTTACCCAGATGAGTGGGCATGGTCCCCCGGTAACAACAGATTTTGCAAAACTCCTATTCACATTACACAATACACAGTCAAAATGGGCTACAGAATGCTACTAAAGACGAATGACCCAGATCCAGTTATCAAAGTTAGGTGGAACAAGATACTGGGCCAGGAAGCAGGACAAATATCAAAAATTCCTTGGCTGAAATACAAATCAATACGACCAGTCAAAATAAGAAGTCTACAGTGGCTCATTGCCTACAATGCACTACCCGTGAACAGTTGGCTACACATTAGAAGGAGACAAGAATGACCCCAACAGCTCAGATCTCTGTGCAGTGTGCTCAGACCATGAACAGGAAAACACCATACACTGCCTGATCACATGCAAGGCCGCTACCGACTACTGGGCACGAGCATCCGCTCTCTGGGACTACCTGTTTTCTTCTTCCTTCCCCGAACACCCAATCCAACTACTCCTCTGGACCAACGTTCCTGAAACGGTAGCCTTAACAAGTCGGAGCGCACCGGATAAAGTTAGTCTGGGGATAACAAGCTGCTGATCTTCCCCAAGGGTTCACATTGACGGGAAAAGGTTTGGCACCTCAAATCGGGGCAATCGTCCAGTAATGGGAAAATAAAGTAGGGTTTGGCTTGATTCGAAAGGTGACGCTCTGGGTCATATGGGAGGAAAGGTGCAGCAGAGCATTTGACAACTCCAGCAGTTCATGTGAAAAGGTGTGGGCAATGACCAAATCCTTAACGGAGACTGAAGTCTTCTCCCAATGGAAGAAAGCCAGGATTCAACTCCAGGAGAATCAGGAGAAGCAGCAAGAGATTCTGGCAAAGTTCACGAAAAGTATGGCGGGTCAATGGAAACATTGCGAGCATTCACGGACTTCACCTCAGATGGAAAGACTGGCACAGCTCCTGCCCGCTGCAGACAGAACAGGGCAATCATCTCGCACAGCCTCAAGACTTCAGAGCTACATAGTTCGGACATATGACCATGGGCACACTTACAACCAAGCTGGTCATGTCACTTAAGACTCACAGCAGTTATTCTCCTGTTGCTTCTTGCGTTCAAGTCTATCTGACAGGGTCTCTGATGAGGACTCTGAGCAGAATCACTGGGGAAGGCGAGCTGACGGTCAATCCTCCACCAAGTGGAGTAATCAATGCTGATCAGGGATCCTTCAGCCAGACGGAAGGATGCGTGAGTGGGTACATGATGTAATATTGTTACTATGACTTGCCTGGGGAATAGGAACCGGACTGATGCTCCCCAGAATGGATATGGAGCCAGGACCATAAGGAGGCTACTTTGCATTGCTGTACTTGAGCAGGATCTCTTCCTTAGTTAATACACTCGTCTGCATCTACGAAAACAGCAAAGGAAAAAAAAAGAAAACAGAAATTGTTACTGGTGCAGTGCACGGGCAGGCTCCACGCTCGCGCGGTGCACCGTGCCGCACGGCTGTGCGACTCGTGCAGTTGCGAGTATGGTGTATATTCAATTCTTCTGGTTGCCGGAGCTTCCGCTGTGCATATCTATCTTGGTCGTGGTATGAATCTCTCTCCATGTCAGTTCGGATTCGTTGTCTCTGCGTGTTTATGGCAACATGGTAGAGCTCAACTGAATTGCGATTTCAACAACGCACATAGCACTTCTCTCGCCTTCAACTCATTCTTTTCTATTTCAAATCACTCTCTGGTAATCCCTTTACAATCTTCAGATCTTCCTGTATACCGCTTTCACTCTTTAGGTTCTTCTGTAGGTCCTATTTGTCCTCTGGACTTCATGCTTTTGCATTTTTTGAAACTCCTCCATGGATCGTTTGGCTCGTCAAGTCCCTTTTGTGCATTACTACGGTAATACTACCTAACTTTCATGGTTAGTCTTTATGTCTGTTTCTTGCCACTGTGCTTCCCTCTTGAAATTGTGTATTTCCTTTCTTCTCTCTGCTTGCTTTTCTGTAGATGGGCCTCACTCCTCTACTCACAACATGCACAAAAGACACAAAATATGGCGGCATATCTTTCTATGTTCTAGCGGAAGATTCATTCTCATTTTGCACATTTGGTGAGTTGTGGAGTGAAACCCCATCTCTGTTTTTGGTGGAGAGCTGCGCCTGGTGGAAACTGGATCCCGGCGTCCCGGAATAACTTTTTTCTGTTCATTTTTTCTTTTTTTTCGGCTGTTCACGTGTAAAAATTTGGACCATTTCTCGATTTATGCATGTCATGATGTCATCCTCGTGCAGGGGCCATGCTAATCTTCTCTGTATCCTTCCAACTTCCGATTTAAACGGATGTCCCGAAGGACAGCATCCCAAAATAAGTACAACAGTGAAGACTTGGTCCAGCATGCTACAATAACGGCAACAATGAAAAGCTGGAAACCGGGTCCATATTTCCTTCTCGATCGTCTATATTTCTTTTTTTCCCCTTTCGGGAGAGTACAAATATCCCCAACCGTCTCTATCAACTGTTACTCCAATATTGAAGACGAACGAAATAGGACGAGAGTCCTATCACGTTATTCCCTTTGTGTCTATAAGCTTGTTTCATTTTGTAAATAGTAAATAGTAAATAGTAAATACTGAATAGTAAATAGTAAATAGTAAATAGTAAATACTGAATAGTAAATACGTGTGTTTGAGACCATTGACCGCAACCTGCAACTTGAGGTTCTTCTGTATGTCCTCCCCTCTCCTCCCTATTTTCCTTCCTTTTTTTTCCCTTTTTTTCCCTTTTTTTTTCTTCCCTATTTCAGTATTTTCCTTCTTGGGGTTATATATTTGATGATTTAGATCTCTTCCCTTATCTAAGACAGCGTGGTTTTCTTCTTCTTAAAAAAAAAAAAAAAAAAAAATATCTGTGTTTGCTTTCATAGATCCCTCTGTTTGAGAATGGAGCCTTCATGAATGGGCCCACTTGAGGTGGATGCTCTTATCACTACCTCAGGCGGCACCCTCCACTGAAGATTCGCGGGGGGGGGGGGGGGGGGGGGGGGGGGAAAGGATATCAACCTGCAAGATGCAATCTGTTTGTGTTTCTGGAACCAGCCATGTTTGTACAAGACACTGAGATGATTCAAGAGGACGGCCCTATACATAATTTTCAAGGGTGTAGCCCCTAACCGTGTTGCATGCCTTTGATTCCAGGAGGACCCGATCCTGTCATCTGTTTCACAAGAGTTACACGTGTGTACCATTCAGCGGCCTGGGCTGGGTCATTTCACACCTCCTGTATTCCTTTCTCATGCTGTTTCGTTCCTCCCTTCTCTCTATGCTTGTAACACCTAAACGTATTGCATGGCTTCGATTCCAGGAGGACTCGATCCCTTGATCCGTTTAACAACAGTGACATGTGTGTACCGTTCAGCGAGCTGGGCTCGGTGATTTCACCCCTCCTGTATTCCTTTCTGACACTTTGTTGTGTTCCGCCCTTCTCTCTATGCTTCATCCGTAGGTCCCCCTGTTTGAGAAGATGGACAGCAACCTGCAAGATGCAATCTGTTTGTGTCTACAGCCAGCTATGTTCGTGGAAGGCACGGTGATGATTCGTGAGGACGACCCAGTACAGTCAATGCTTTTCATCATTAAGGGACGGATGGAGAGCTCGACGACGAATGGTGGCCGGACGGGTTTTCTGAATACCAGACAATTACGGGCTGGCGATTTCTGTGGTGAGGAGCTGCTGACGTGGGCACTCGAGCCAAAAAGCCAACATGACAGCTTGCCAAAGTCCTCCCGGCGAGTGCTCATTCTGGACGAAGTGGAGGCGTTTTCCCTTGGCGCTGACGACCTCAAGTATGTTGCCAGTCAGTTCCGCCGTTTGCACTCGAAAGAGATCCAGCACACCCTACGATGTTATTCTCAGCAATGGCAGACGTGGGCTGCATGTGCCATCCAGGCGGCATGGAGAAGGAAGAAGATTCGCGAACGGAAGCATAGGGAAGCGCGAAGGGAAGCGAAACGAGCTGCGGGTAAACTTCTCGACCCAGAGGACGACTCAGACGTAATCGCGCTGCCGTTGAATGTCGCCCGGGTTGCAAGAGGGTTGACATTGACATCGTCATCATCCACCGTTATGTATGATACCGATCCCGCCGGGCAATCAAGAGGAAACGTCGGAACCTGCGCAAGCTTAGAGAACATCGACGAGGAACAACCTCATATCGCAGGTCCCCGTAACGTGAATCCGAAAGGCACGCGATTGCGGCTCGGGACCGTGGGTGATGTTGTCATTCATACACAGAACTTCCTTCGCGAAGAGGCCTTTGAAAATCCTTCTCATTCCGATAAAAGAAAAGGGTAGGTTGGTTGACTCAGCATTGACCTTTACATGGCGTCTGTTATTCCCAGATTTGATCTTTCTGGCGGACCACCAGCACACAGTACGAAGCCTGTTGCACACAAGTCTGTGGCCTATTCATGGGATGTCCAAGCATATATGCTGAGAGCTTTCATGGTTGCATGGCATGGCACCATATTTCGTCTGCTGATATCTCCTTATGGTTATTAAACCCTGGTATCTGTTGCTGCTCGCCGAGATGAATCAACAAAGAGGGGTCCTTTATCAATGACCAGTCCATAAGATCTTCTTGGTACTCAGCAAAGTTGTGCGAGGGGTTGGGGTTGGACAAGGAAAATGATGTCCTGTCTTTCTTGGGTCCTGATTGATGATTTGCAACCATATATTCTTTCATGCCAGATGCGAAAATATAACAATAGAAAAGAAAAATGAGGCTTTAATACTCTTTATTACAGTCAGTCATCAGTAGTTTTTCCCTCCATTGGAAGATAATTCAGTGCAGACTCACACTAGGACTTTTTCAACTGAGTTCTGGACTTGATTGCAGTCAGATGCATCCGGGCGTGGCCGTAATTGCGGTCAGATACGTCCCGGAAAGTGCAAGTATGATGATGCCCTGATTGCTTCTATTGACTGCGGATTGTCCTCATCTGTCTGTACCTGTTCAATTGTTTGCTGCCGTCGGTGATGGACGGGTCTCAGTTGTTTCCTGTCATTCGATGGATGGGTGTCTTTTTCTTTTTGTTCACTAATTTGGACCATTTCTCGATTTATGCGTGTCATGATGTCATCCTTGTGCAGGGGCCATGCTGATCTTCTCTGTATCATTCCAATTTTAACGGATGTCCTGAAGGACATGGATGTCAATTGTTTGCCTCTTCTTCTTTTTCATTTTTCCTGGGTCCATTCCCTCACGAGACCCGTCCCATCCCCCCTGTCGATGTTCCCTGGCGCACCCCCACTCCCGTTCTATCCTACCTCACATTGAGGACCGCCACTCTCTCGTTAAGTGACCTGACTGTTCTATGGTTGGCTTGGCACCGTATTGTATTGGCAGCGTGTTCCGTCTTTTCATGTAGCTGCACCGAGTTATCGAATCTTCTGCTTTCTCAACTGAGATGCAAGCTCCCTTACTAATTGCCAAGCGGTCCCTCCCTCTTAAACCACCAGCACACCCGGGCCTGCAGGCGCCTTACTGCGCGCCAAGATTTTCCACACTGCCAGCTCTTAAACCACCAGCACACCCGGGCCTGCAGGCGCCGTACTGCGCGCCAAGCTTTTCCACACTGCCAGCGGCGCACTTTTTTTCTCGTTTGCCTGGCGCCGCCAGACATTGTGATCCGGTAGGCCGAGCCTCCGAAATTTTTGTAGGCAACGAGTTTCTTTTTCACCAAGGCTGGGGCCGTGTACAGGCGGTTTAAACCACCAGTACCTCCACGTTCTTAGGCCGTTAACGCGGTGGCTAAATCGGTGCGCCGCGGGGGTCCATATGCATTTGTGTCAGAGCCTCCCCAGAGGGGGCCTAAGACCCCCTGGGGTACTGGCAGCTTAACCCGCCCCTTCGTTTCCCGTGAAGGGGGTATCGGCTGATACTACTGCATCCATCAAATTCCGCCAGGCGTCGATATCGCGATCTGTTTGTCAGCGGTTACATGTGTGAACCATGCAGCCACAGCTGCCCCTTTGTCTTGGTTGCTTGTGTCCTCCCCTCTTCATCCTCATATCAGGATGACATCCTGATCACGCCCACCGCCCCGCGCAATTGCTTGAACATGCCCACCTGTTTGTTTGTTTGTTGTTCTTTTTTTTGGAAGTGTGATTTTTACTCTGTTTCATTTGATTGTATCTGGATTCAAACTTGGGTCCATATTTCAACAATTCATCCGTGTACCAACTGATCTAGGCACATTGGTAACATGGCCATCTTTGCACCGGAGGGGTGAGGATTCCCATGCCAAAAGTTGTTTTTGTCTTTTTTTTTCCCTTTTTTCTTCTTTGAAAAGGGTGATGGGCACTGACAACCTTGAGATATCGTCATTCAACTGACTGGACCGTGATGCCTATTTGAACTCAGGTCTGTATTTCAACAGTTTATGGGTGTACCAACTGAGTTAGACCCATTGGTGCACAAAAAGTTGTGGCCGCTGTACAACCGTTGATTTATTTTTACTCTTACGATCCTGCCGTTCGCTTGCTTCATTCTTGGCTGGCTGTGTGATTTCACTTGTGAAACCTGATGGTACCTGAATGCTTTGGTGAGTGGTGTCCAATCAGTCCCAAGTTGGCCATCAAAAAGGTTTTTGTGCAATGAACCACTTATATTATCACTCCAAGCATATGCATCATGAGAGTTCACACAAAATCCACACAGAAGTCCAGAGAAGGTGAGACCAGATTAGGGCAGCTCATAAACTTCAATGAATGATTGTACAATACAAAGCGAGAGTTCATCTCACCAAGCGCTCCATAGCGCATCATCATATTATGCCGAGTCAGAGTCTGTGTTGCAGGTGCTCATCGGCGCTTCATCATATTATGCCGAGTCAAAATCTGAGTCGTCAAGCGCTCGTCAGCGCATCATCCAGCATCCTCTAACAGGTATGTAACTCTCTCTCGCACTCCCTCTCTTCTCTCCTGGCTTGTATCACACAACCTCTCTCTCTCTCTCTCTCTCTCTCTCTCTCTCTCTCTCTCTCTCTCTCTCTCTCTCTCTCTCTCTCTCTCTCTCTCTCTCTCTCTC